AACATCTAGATCAGTTATTTAGTTAACGTACGCTTTCGTAAGGCTACCTAGCAACAAGGAGTGGGCCGTTACCATGACATCCGATGAGGTAAAAAAAGCATAATGGCCTAAAACTCTTGTCAGTTTCCGCGTGAAAAATTGATCAATCAAATAAAATAATTTTACTTTGTGAAACAAGTGTAGGAGAAATAAATTATTGCTCTTAAGAATATTTTTAGCCATTGTCTATACTCGCTTATAAGTTGTCGAGCGCTTAGATTTGTCTTCAGTGCTAAATGTACGTTGCTCGATTGTCTGTACATCCTTTMTTTTAATCTGTTGGACTCATCTTAAAAATCAAGGATATTACTTCACTTTCYTCCACATACCTCATCGTCATCTGCATAAGTTGAACTTGTGTTCTGTGCAAAGTCTGTACAAGCTCTGGCAAACTCTTGGGACCATTGCTTATGATGGGACCATGACTTTTCATTCCTGACGGAASAATGTGATTTGAACCAACTAAGCAYAGTARACTCACTAGAATAATAAACTGTACAACGTCTAGCACWTTATGGCCAGCCATKTTAACTACAAGCCACAGTGTGRTGTAGTGCCTTYCCGTGSTGAGAGCTGGAGTGATAGATCGAGTGTTGTAGGGATTTGAMAAACGTTAGTGATAATAAATCAYGATAAAACATTGAAGAAAGCTAATACCAAGACAACGCATTTGTCATCAATTTTAATAAGAATTGTCACTGAGGGAAATGACATTTTAGAATCGCGCTTTGTTATTTAATTAACTGTTTATTTATCTAATCCTGTGGACAAAAACAAAAATGATAGCTAGAGAATTTGGGAAGAAACCTGTAATAAGCGAGGATGAAAGATGGAAAGATAGAGATTGGAGTCGAGAAAGGAGCTGGGAAGTCGGAAAGAATGGGCAAGCAGTAAGAAGAGTGCCAGGGAGGAAGAAAGGAAGGAAGGAAGAAAGAAGGGAAAGAAGGGAAAGAAGGGACGAGAGATGAGGAAAGAGAAAACAGTGAGAAGGAAAGAAATGAGGAAATCGAGAGAGCCAGCGAGGGATGGATGGAGGAAGGAAGCAATGAAGTAAGCAAGCAGGAGAGCAAGAAAGTAAGGAAGAAAGGGGCTCCTTTTTAAAAATATAGTTTAATGAATAAGAATAAAGAGCGAACTGCGGAAGAAAGGGATAAAGGGAGAGAAATAAGAATGAAAGAATGGAAAGAAGGTTGATGTATGCACGTGTCTCGCGGAGAGGAAAGAGAAAAAAAGAAGAAAAAACTATTTGGTGACATTAAGTGAGCTTTATTGATCAAAAATAGACCGTTTCCTATAACACTCTCAATTCCATTAAACATCACATTAAATTTTTTAAACAACACATTAAATTTTGCTCGTTTACTCGAAGCTACGCAAATTAACGCGAAGGACCGAAAGTTGTCGTTGAAAATCGACATCGATTCGTATTATTTTATCGTGTACGGTTAACATAAACAAAAATTCTCTAAAGGATTTATATAAATAGATTCAACGAAAAAAAATCATTGACCCGTTTCCAATTAT